TCATGGAATTATACCAATCTATCCTACATATACAAAAAATGACAGATTTTCTTAAATAACAATCCGAAGATATGAACTCTGGAACAACCCAAATCTCAGAGATGTTCAACTCAAATATAAAAATGTTGTTTAATATCACTACTGAGCATAAAAAATATGTCATAGAACTCAAAAATCAAGTTGATGCTATTACAATTCAACTAAAAGATATATTGTCTGAGACAAATATACCAAAGAGTTTAGAAATGAGTTTTCCAAATCAATACCAAACAGGGACAGCTGGAAGCAGCAGTGGACTCAGACTTGACAACATACCAACTGATAATAAAGAAGATTCCATTTCTATATCATCAACCAAGAAAACTATGATACATGGAGATAAAAGAGATACCAAAACAATCAGCATCATAGACCAAGAAGATAGAATCTCTTTAGATCCAAAAGAAGAAAAATATGCCGAAATAGTTAAAATCGCTTATAAAATAAAAATGAGTGATTCATAATTCATTTCTCCGGGAAATAATATTTACCCCAAAATAACAGCCTTGAAAGGAAGTGACCCTTCATTTATAAAAATTATGGCAGACTAGGAAGAGATTTTATTGAAATTTCAAAGTTTAATGACATATTCATTAAAGAAATATCCAGATTTGTCAGATGAAGAAAAATATTTTTGAAATTCTATTCAATAAGTCCAGAATATGATGGAATTGTTTACTATCCAGTTGAACACATAATTTCATTGGATATGTTGCAACCAATTTCCAAATTGATGTTAGAGAGAATAATAGAAAAGTCCAAACAGTGACAAAATCATGGATTAGACATAGAAAAGTACTTGGAATTAAAGTCATTTACAACATTACTAAAAATTTGTTTGATAAAAAATTATCGTACTTGTGCCAATATGAAAACTGGATGCTAGTTTTCCGATGGAGAATATGCAAAATCAGAAATTTTAAAAGACCATATTATAAGATTTGATATATACATTAATTTTCAGGATGTCCTACCACTATAAAAGAATCTTGCCAACTAAGGGAGTGTCCCAACTGCATGTGAAGAAATGAAGAAGACAATCATAGAGCACCTTTGACAAAGGTGTACAGCTGCATGTGAAGACATTGAAAATAAGACCAATAATAGAAAAAGATGCTCTTTGGATAAAAAATTGAAGCAACATGTAGGCCTAAGGAGGAAAATAATAGAAAGGCAAGAGTGACTTGCTGATGTAATCAATGATGTAATAAAGTCTCTTAAACTTGTATAAATAGAGACATTGCCATAGAAAAAGATCATCTCATCCTATCTTGAAATCTCAAGTTGCAAGCAATTGCCCATTCCCAGTTTGAAAAATCAGTTTTTCTGAAAATCCCTTTGTATCAAATAGAAGGTCACTCAGTTTTAAGAATATATGGGAATAAAGATTTAGAAACTCATATTTATATAAAAAATATTGGAGTTTTAGCTCGTGGGCCAAACCGAGCCCAGCTCGCGAGTAGACGTCGTTTATATATATATATATATATATATATTGAGAACAAATAGGTAATTTGAAAAATAAAAAAGTAATTTTTTTAACTAAAAGAGATATAAAAAATAAATAAGAAAACTTTATTTTTTTTATTTTTCTTTTTAAAATAGATAAAATATAAACCCTCCTCCTTTATCCGAGCTTGGGACCGGCTACTTAAATTTTCAGTAGGCAGAATTAAAAATTGTACACGAAAATTTTTTTGTAGCGTGTATAATTTTTTAAAGAAAATTAAAAGTAACGATAAGAAAAGAAAAGTTTTATCAATATAATTAAATCAAATATCACTTACTTGACGACATGCAATTTCGGAATATTTATCTTGTAGTCGAAAATGAGCGTCCTGCCAATTCCTAACGCACATTAACGCTTCTAAAATATCTTCTTTCAGTCGGCTTCTGATCTCGCTCAAAACTTTTTTACCTGCACTAAAAACAGACTCCGAAGCAACAGTGCTAACTAGAGATGTCAGTAGATCTTTTGCAATCGCAGATATAACTGGCCAACGTCGTTCATACCTTCGCCAGAATTCAATTACTTCGTCTGAACTTTTTTTAATTGTTTTATCTGTTGGCATAATCTGGTTGAAATAATCAATTAGTTCAGCAGGCAATGCATTATGGCTTGAGCCCGTAGATATATGATGAGAATGAGATACAGATGGTGATGACATGATAGTAGCAGTGGTAGTAGATGAACACATTGCAGATGAATCAAATCTATACGAATTAATGCCTTGAAATAAATTAAATATCTTCGCATCTTCTTCTTCAATTTCAGTGGAAGGAGTAGGTGCAGATGGTACCCGACTAATATTGGTACCCATTCAGTTAGCATATAATTCAAACATTTCACATAATATTTGCTCGAAATTTCTATATGTGATAGATATATCAAATGTTAAGGCGTTTGAAATTTGATCAATTATATATTTAGTTCCCGATAAATTATATCGGGGGTCCATCACGCATGCTAAAGGAAATAACATAGGTAAATCTTTCCAATATTTTCTAAATTTTAATTCCATAGCAATTATAATTTCACTAAAATCAGGGTCATTTCTGTATTTATGAAATGTTCTTGCAATTATATAAAGACGTTCAAGCACCATACAGCTGGTGGAATAGTAAACGCCTGATAAAATCTTAATAGTTTCATAAAAAGATGTCAAAATTTTTTTAACTTTCAAAGCTAAATACCAATCACGTTCAGTCAACATACCCTCTTCATCACTTCTAACATGTCTATTGTTATAAAAGTCAGTTATTAAATGTTCAAAACCTTCACATGACTTTAATAACAAGTAAGTAGAGTTCCTCTTATGACCTATGTCGCTAACAAATGTTTTAGCATTTTGCACTCCTATTTCGGCACAATAATTCTCAAATGCTTGTTTTCTACTTAGAGAGATTGTGATATATATTAGTGCGTTCCTAATATTTTGAAGTTCATCCTTCATATATTTTAAACCATCTTAGACAATTAAATTCAAAATATGACGTAAACAACAAATATGAAACAAATACCCACTAAAATCAGGTTGTAGTACCCCACGCAATTTTTCAACAACTACTTTATTAACACTAGTATTATGGAAAGTGAATGAACGAATCTTACCTTCGCAATGATATTCTCTAAAAATACTAATAATAGCATTAAATATATTATTAGCGTTGTGAGGAAACTCAACAATTCTAAAAGCAATAATTTTTTTATGCATGTACCAAAGTGGGTCTATATAATGCGCAGTTGCAGCTATATATGCTCTTTTATTAATCACTTTCTATATATCTAAAGTTAAAGATATGAAACCCCCATATTTTTGTAAATCCATAATTAATTGTTGTTTTGTTGAAATAAAATACTGTATTTTATCAGAACGAAGAGTGTTTCGACTTACCCCAATGTACCTTGGTTGCAGATATTCTTTCATATACGAGACGTAGTGTTGGTTGTCAATTAATGCCAAAGGCAACTCAGCACCAGCAACAAGTTTCACCATTCCGGTTCGAGCTTTCTCCTCCGAATACACCCATGTGGATAGGGGTGCAGTAGAACCACCGGCGTCTGGATTGCCAAATTGTAATTGTATTTGACAGCCTGGAATAAGTCCGTGTTTGGCCGCACATACTTTGTAATGACGGTTGAGATGAGTGGTACCAATTCCTCTTTACCACGCCAATCTTTGTTGACAATATTTACATACTGCTTTGGATTCTTGGACTCCATTGACGATTTTTCCCGTTGAAATCAACTTAAAGTGATCCCAACATTTTGCTTATTTTTTCCCCTTTCGCTTTCCTATCGCATCAAGAATGTTTAATTCAACCTCTTCTTCCTGATCGTGTTCCTCTTCGGGAACGTCAATATAATCCAAATTAATTGGATAATTTGGATTGCCGCTTACATGATGGTGAAAATCCAAATTTGGAATATTTTCAGGTAGGGGTACGTCATTTAGACCTTCAAATTGATTCTAAAATTGATTTTGCGATGTCATAGGCGATTCGTTTCCTCCCACACGGAACAAGTTTTCGACAAATGGGCGTGGATCCATTTGTTTAGTTGTAATAAGTAATAACTAGTAGAAGAATAATTATATAAATGTAGTGAGAAATGAAAATTTGATAAAATTTCAATAAATATAGTGAGAACTGAGAATTGAATATTGTATAAATTGTATATAAAAATTGCAAGTTATCAGCACAATACAAGAAACTTGAGAGAAAGATAATTGAGAGTTGCGAGAATTGTAAAAAAAAAATTGTGGCTGAATGCCACTATTTATAGAAGAAAAGAAAAAAAAATAATAAATTTAAGGATCAAAACGGTCACTGAAAAAATTCAGTGATCGTTAACGGTCAAAAAACGTATTAAAAAAAAAATTTAATGAGGGACTGAAACGGTCACTGACAAAAAGTCAGTGACCGTTCTAAAAGTGACCGAAACGGTCACATTTCAAAAAATGTGCCCATTTCGGTCACAATTTAAAACGAGCCCACGAGCTTGGGCTCGTGGCTCATTTTTTGTGCGAGTCGAGCGGGCTCGGCTCACCCATCGAACCGGCCCGCTCGTTTCGCACTCGGGCTCTTATTTTACGAGCCCGAGACGCCCACGAGCTCCGTTTTCGCGAGCCGCTCAGTTCATTTGTCACCCCTAGATCAATTGCATGATTTGATGATTATCCATGATATACAATCAAATGATTGGATAATTTATTCGAAAGAATGTTAGAAGAAATAAAAAATATGTATTCTCAATTAGAAAATTTGAATGCATCTTCTGAAAAATATAATATATTAAATAATAAATGTGAATAATATGTTACAAATTATTTCAATTTATTAAATTATAGAATGAAATTATATTCAAATATTCGAAATTGAGAAAATATAAAATAGAATATTTAAAAGATTAGAACGTATATTGTAATATAGAAAGAATATTTTCAATACGGAACTTTCAATAAAAAGTAATAGTGATAGGTAAAAAATAGAAAAATCTCGTACACAAATTTGTGGGAAACAATCTGCAGAAATTGTAATGGAAACCCGTCTCATGAAGGACCCGACCTGAACCCGGGGCGCTACTGCTTCCGCCTCCAGAAGAACCGAGTCTACTACGTATCGGAGTCGTTAGTCAAACGCGCCACCAACATCAAGCGCGAAAAATTGGTGTCGATGGGAACCCAGATTGGAAAATTCACCAAGAGTGATAAATTTCACTTGACGATTCAGGGGTTGAATTTGTTGGCTGCAAGTGCCAAGCACAAGGTGTGGCTGAAGCCTATATCTGAAATGAGCTTTTTGTATGGGAACAGTGTGTTGAAAGGTGGGGTGGGGAGGATTCCAGAGAATATTCAGGTGAATGATGGGGTGGTGGTATACTCCATGGCGGATGTGCCGTTGGGGTTCGGCGTTGCAGCCAAGAGCACGCAGGATTGTAGGAAAATGGATCCCAGTGGGATTGTGATGCATCACCACGCCGATTTTGGGGAGTACTTGAGAATGGAGGATAAGCTTTAATCAACACATCCGAGTTTGTTGTTTTCACCTTATTTTTAGTTAATGAAAATGAGTTTTACAAGTGTTGTTATTCTTTAATGCTAATCTTTTTCTTTATATTTTTGAATTTTTTCGAAGTCTTAATTATGTTTATTTGCTATATTCGTGTTAATTCATGCCAGGTGAGAATAGGTTTAGTGTTTATGAAATCGAGAAATTTTATTAGCTTTTATGAGTATTTTTTTGTTGAGCTTCAATTTCTCTAGTCACCAATGCCATTCTTTTTTTCACAAACCAGAACATTATAAGAATCATGCACTACACCAAACAGAAAGTGAGCACAAAATTGACAGACGTCTTAGCAGAACCACCCGAGTAATTCTGATATGCCCCAAAGTGCCTATTTATAGGCATCTCATCAAAGCTTCGACTAGGTGACTTTCTTGGGGTTGAAGATGCTGAAATCTGTTTCAGCTGTTGACTTTCAATTCACCTAAAATCGGCCTATCTTCAAAATTCATCACCGAATTTGATCCTTTTGAAACACTTGAATTAATATCCACTTCTTGATATCGGTACTTGGTTGATCTGATTCTTGCTTGAACTTCTTCTTTTAAGGCTCCAACGTCTGTTCCCCCCTGAGACTTCACAGCTTTCCAATGAATAATGTTTACTACAGGGTTCAGCACAAAAATTGATAGAAGCACTTCTATCTCTTGCATTAGTCGTGTACCTAATTTCTCGACTTCGTTTTCAAGTAGGCCATTTTATATGACATGACTCTCTACTTCCTCATTTATCAGTGTTAAGAATTTTCTATCGGTCGGCTCTATCAGTGATGTCAAAACTGATTCAGTCCATACCTCTTGGCCGTCAATGTAATAATCATCATGATCATCTTCATTATCACATCCTCCTCAGCTTCATCATTACTGTTTCTAACATTGTGACATCTATGATTAGGAGGATAAGATGCAATACTGGACACCATAGATATCTTGTATTGGGATAGGGAGTTGAGTTTGCTGAACATATGTAAACTTTCCTCTTCTTTCTCACAGCTTAATTACCCCATTATAAATATTCTGTGCTTTGGTCAACCAGAACATGAACGTGTCTCTTTTTTGGAGGATTTGGGCTTAATTGCTCCTCTCTCTCAGGCTCATCTTGAAACTCTGGAACCTAGTTGTGGAGGGTTCTTTTGTGGTTATCTGCTCTGCCAATATTATACATAAGTGCTGAACTATGATCATTCTCTTTGTTTCTAGGGATGACACGATTAGTCCTCTTTTGCTCCCATCTTGATCCTTTGCACCACCCGAGCAACCAACCCATTAGAGAAATCAATCAAATGACTGCCCCTCCAACTTGACTAGTCTTTTTTCCTGTTAGCTTCAGAGGCCTAAACTTGTTTCGAAGGGGGTTAAAGGTCAGCATATTTTGCAGTGCACAGAACAAACATTACTAACGTCACTGTTTATATTTCTTTTAATCTTCGTGTAATTTTCAAGGCAAAATAAATCGTCATTTTCTGGTTCTCTTCCGGTTCATTCAACATATTAATTCAAGTATAATACACACATCAATTCTTTCTTGAGGTCATCATGTGCCTATACTTGGTTGCTATTTTGCATTGAAGTTTGGGTTTCGTGATTCAGTGTATTTAATGTTGATTTTGTTTGAATATTAATTGAAATACTCAATGACCCAGTTCAGTATAGAACTATGGTGCTTTCTTTTGATAATCTATTTCATCATCAAGCTTGGAAAGCTATGTTGAACTGATAATAGACGAGCTCCATTTGGAACATAGGACAATGCTCTGGAGTTTTTATGCAGTCGTCCTGTCATGCTGGTAACAGTCTTGACTCCTAAAGCCTTTGAGGAGCAGCCACCGGCAAGTGCCATCAGTTCAAATTTAAAATCTTTATATTTTTTGCCGGTGTTCCTAGTCTATAAATAGGGATTTGTCCTGATCCATTTCCATACAATTCTCTACTTTCCTACTCTCATGTTCTTCCAAAATTTCATATATCTCTAGCTAGCAATATAGCTTTGTCGTTCCTTTCGTTTGTTCAGTTTTTTGTAACTATTTTTTCTGCTTCTTAGTTCTCTTCTGCTGCATATTACCTTTTCATGTATTTTTTACAATATTTTCGGAAAGTTAAATATTATTTTTTGGAGAATGTGCGGTTAAAAAATACAGAAAGTTTTGAATTTACGTGCATAATATTTTATCTTGTGATTGTATAATTGAAAATGAGTATGGAATACAAAGGGTGGTATAGAGCTGGACCTAAGGTGAAACCCAAGAGGCCACTGCCTCAGGCCCGACTGTTTTGGGGCCCAAGAAAATCTACATTTTTTTTTTCTTTTTTTAAAAACTATATTTTATCCCAAATTCAATCCTCAATTAAGAAGGCAGTGAGGCGAAGCAATTGTGGCATCGCTTCAACTAACAGCCTGCATATTAAGGTTATTATCATCTGGGTTTGCACTTAAAGCCTCACAGAAAAATAAGAATCTTGAGAATGTAGCCCACGGTTTTGTCTCTCAATCTTCCGTTTCCGCCCCCCCCCCCCCCCTCTCTCTCTCTCTCTCTCTCTCTCTCTCTCTCTGTGTTTATATTTGTAATATAAAAAATTAAGATTGATATTTTAGTTGTTTAATTTTATAAGTTTGACCTTTTCTTTTATGTTTGTTGGGCTTGTTTATTCTTTGATTGGTGAAGAACTCAGAAGAATTCTTGCCTCTTGGTTGCATTAGACTAATGAAAAAGGATTTCATATTTGTCCATGATTTTATTGGAAGTGGTTTTCTTTTATTAAGTTTTAAGGTAAATTGTTGCACTGGATCATAGATTTGGATTTTGGAATGAATATAATGTTTATAATTGATGTTTTATTAGTGGGTAATGGTTTTTGCTTTGTCCTTTGTCGGTGTGTTCTTCCATTTTCAATTTTAAACAACTTATGTCACATAATTTAGTTTATAACTAGTGATTAAACAAGTTATACAGGATTGTCAATGAAAACATTTCTATGTATATATTATTTGTGGACAATGCTTTGAGAAAAAAATAATATCTTCAATTCTTTCTTTTTAAAACTAATTTGAATCCCTATTTACACTCATATTTCAGTTACTGTTTGCTGTTAAGTCAAATATCAATACACGATGGCTCCTACATATGCATCTAGATCTCAAAAACAGAAAGAAGGAGAGAGAGAGAGAGAGTTCGAAGCTAGGCTGGAGATATGAATAAGTATTTTAATAGCAAGAAAAGAGAAAGATGGAACATTGGAACATTTGATTATTGAAAAACAATAGAATTGAAATGATAATGATAAGTGGATGAACGGAAAGAGAACAAGGAAATGATTGAACTTGCCAGTATGAATGAATCGAAACAGAATGATGAAGATAATGAAGATTTAAATCAAGAGAATTGATTTTCTTTGAATTTTGATGATCTTGGTAATTGGAAGAACATTCACATTGATCAAAAGATAAAAGACTTTTTAGTTGAAATGGGTTCAACTCGACCATACAAAATTGATAGATACTTTTTTCTCGAAAATCGCAAGACAATTTGTATTTAAGTGATCGTTTAGAACATTTTCACATTGTTATTTGATTATAATATACATGTTTTACATATTTTGTTTTTTATTTTTTGATATTAAGTTAACAAATTTTAGTTCCTTAAATATCTTATAAATGAAAAAAAAAAAACTTAATTGCTTTCTATAATTTATGAGTCGAAATTTTGAAGTTCGTCTCAGGCTCCAAAAACATAGGTCCGACCCTGAGGTGTTGGCTCCCGTTTGATATTGATTTAAATCAAATTTTAATCTAAATTAAAGTCGAATAATCAATATTAACATCTTTTATGAATCCTACGAATTTTCAACAACACATTTCAATTTTTTTTATTAAAATCTACTAAAAATCTAATTTTAATTTCCCAAAAAAAAAAAGTTTAATACAAAGAATTTCAAACAAGGACTCTAATCTTTAGACCAATTTTGCTACATTGCATTATATAGTATTTTGAACAGATTGCAACAGATTTTACACACCACAAGAAGTTGTTAACCAACTCATAGTAGTTCATATTCCACTCGGTGATCTTTTGGTAAGTATTTTCACTAAAAACTGAAAAAAAATTCAGCCTTTGAAAAATTAAAACAATATTTTATTAGACCAAACGACTTTTTGTTCATTGGCTCAGCTCGCAAATTTCCTTTAACAATCATGCTACACAAACGGAATGATTGACATAATTTTTACATAATGCCACATAACAACCTTTCATTTGATTATTTAAAATATAGTTAACTTTTTCATCAAATCACATTTTGCTAACACATATTCTGTCATTCTCTTTGTCATATATTTTCTGGCGCACAAGCACTGTTCTTTCTATAAATGCTCACCTCCGCCTCTCAGATGTAGCCCCTGTTTGAGCTTTATAATAATTACATTTTTCAGAAAAATGTATTTTATAATAGTGGTTTTTTGAAAAATGTATGATTGAAAAAGAAGGAAAAATTTTGAATTTACGTATAATATTATTTTATTGGAGAATGTGTGGTTTAAAAAAATAGAGACGAAAATGTATTATCAAGTTAATGGAGCTCGAACAAATGGTGTTAAGCACTAGTGGTGCTAGACCACTCATCTATGTGGTATTGTGTGATATATTTGATCAAAGATAAAATTATATGATTCGTTTAATTGAACCAATAATTTTAGGGATTTGTTTGAGTAGCATAACACATAATTCAATGTCACTAATGGTGCTAAACCACTCATCTATGTGGTATTGTATTATAGATTTGGTCAAAGATAAAATTTTATGATTCGTTTAATTGAACCTATAATTTAAGAAGCCTGTTTGAGTAACATAACATATTATTCAATGTCACTAATGTTACCACCTGGACTGTTGTTCGCATTACTTCTCAAACAAGGTCTTAATTTTGTACCCTAATTAGTTTTCCCCACCTGCAAACCAAAACTACAACACATGCTTTAGTTTCATGTTAGAATTTAATTATGAATAATTTTATTTGTGCATAATAGACATAATTGTATTCATACATATGAGGTATCAAAAAGAGAGAAAAAAATTTCTATTGAAGAAATTCTGACCAAATTATTTATGTCCACATCATGTGTATACAATCTATTATGAAAATCAATATATATATGTAACACAACCGAT